ATGACTCTACCCCATTAAAAATGCCTTTTTATGCAAACGTGGCGGGAAGATCTCAGGTTACTTGGCTATTATAAACAAGGGTCACACAACTTGAGAAAGGTTGGTAACAACTGCTCTAATTTAATGAACACTCCAAATGTAATTTACAACTGATGAAGCCAACATTTCTTTTTTTCTATGGAAAATCAACACATTAGTATGCTTTCCAACTGCCACAGCCACAGTTCCTTGCCAATATAGATAAGGAATGGGTCCCAGCATTTTTCACTATACACAATCACTATGTATGCCAGAGTATTCTGCTCAGACCCAGGAAATCACCTGTTGCAGTGCAACACGTTTAGTTAGTTGGAGTGAAAATATTCCAACTAAATTGAAACTATATAACAATACTAGAAAGTTAGAGGCAAAAAAATGTGATGTGTCACGTGTGACTCATTACTTTTATTCTCATTTGCATGTATGATGTTTGTCTTATTCATCCTTACTCAGACATGCTATTTTCAGCCCTAGTTGTATATTAAGGTGTATTTATGTCACTATAGCCATTAAGAACATGGTGGCTGCTTTAGCATGGCAAAGCAGCTACCATGTTCCCTAGACTCACGAAGAGAATATGGCTTAATACGAAGCTGACAGCATATACCAAGATCCAAGTCTATAGAGCCTGTGTCTTGAGTACACTCCTGTACTGCAGTGACTCCTGGACCTTTTGTGCACGATAGGAGAGGAAGCTGAACACATTCCATATGCGTTGCCTCCAACAGATTCTTGGTATCACCTGGCAGAACAAAGTTCCAAATAGAGTAGTCCTAGAATGAGCTGGAATTTTTAGTATGCATACATTATTTAATCAGCAATGTCTACATTGGCTTGGGCATGTGGACCTTTTGTGCACGATAGGAGAGGAAGCTGAACACATTCCATATGTGTTGCCTCCAACAGATTCTTGGTATCACCTGGCAGAACAAAGTTCCAAATAGAGTAGTCCTAGAATGAGCTGGAATTTTTAGTATGCGTACATTATTTAATCAGCGACGTCTACATTGGCTTGGGCATGTCGTGAGAATGGCTGACGGTCGGATTCCGAAAGCTCTCCTGTATGGAGAATTAGTGGGAGACCAGAGCTGTGATACAAGGATGTCTGCAAGCAGGATCTGAAGGCCTTAGGAATGGACCTCAACAGATGAGAAACCCTGACGTCTGAGCGTTCAGCCTGGAGGCAGGCGGTGCATCATGGCCTCTCCCAATTTGAAGAGACCCTTGTCTAGCAGGCCTGGAAGCAGCAAAATCAGGGTGCTGGACAGGAGACAGATTGTATTTGTCTTCAGTGTGGAAGGGATTGTCACTCTCGAATTGGCCTTCTCAGACACATTATATGCTGTTCCAAGACCTCTATTCAGAGCATGTTATAGTCTCTTGAGACTGAAGGATGCCTACTTTGTTAGCCAGTAAGTGATAAACTTGTTTCATTGCCTTTTCTCCTGTCACACCCAAAGCCAAGGTTTCCTTCTTACTGTTTTTATGATAGCTACCTTTATGATAATAAGGATTCTCCTTATGAGAGTTTATCAGACAAACAAAATAGAGACAAAAATGCTGTGGCACCTTAAAGATGAATAGCTACATTTTAATGTGCGTCTTTGTGGATCATCTCCTCAGACATAAGAGTGAGACTATATGACGGTCATTTTTACACATGCCCTTATGACCAGGTGGGGATATAGATAATGGACAAAAGTGGCAGTAGTTTATTAGTAACAGAATAGCTTATCAGGTTGTGAATAGTGTCAATTGTCAGTCTGCACGGTAACAATAGCATAGCTGACATAAATGGCAAAATGTTGGAATCAATGTAGGATTTCACATTTGGTAATGAATTCAGAACTCTTATTGATATTCAGTCCTTTAAGTGAGTCTGCTTCATATGTATATACAGTGGTGCCCCGCTTGATGATGATAATCCGTTCCGTTAAAATCGCTGTTAAGCGATATCGTCGTCAAGCAGAAGAAAAAAAAACAATTGAAATGCATTGAAAACCAGTTCAATGTGTTCCAATGGGCGACATACCTCATTGTCCAGAGAAGATCCTCCATAGGGGAAGCCATTTTTGGTCGCTGTCTTCCAGAAATAGGTCCGGAAAACAGCGGGGGGCAATTCTGAAACCCGACGATCAGCTGTTTTTGATTGTCATAATGCGAAAAATCAGTTCCCGAAGCAGGGAACTGATAGCCGTAAAACAGATTTTCCCCATTCAATCATCATTTTGCGATTGCAATAGCGATCGCAAAAACCTCATTGTGAAGCGATTTCGTCATGGAGTGGGGTAATCGTCAAGCGGGGCACCACTGTACCTTATCTCAACTGTTTCTCTTTCAGACCTCATTTTGAAGCATTTCTAACACCACCACCACACACATTGTGACTTTCAGGTCATTAAAGAGTGTCCAGGTAGACTGAAATGTTCTGAAACAGCTTTTTGTATGTGTTGATACACACAATGTCAAATTTGTGTCCATTAATTGTTCTGCATGGGGATTGTCCTGTTTGTCCTTAGTAGGGTGCAGAAAGGCACTGTTGGCAAAGGATTACACTAGCAAAGGAACAAATAAATACACCACTGATGTGACATTGTTGGGTCCTGTAACTGAGTTGTTATATGAGATGTGGGGATAGAGCTGGAATCTGTGTCTCTATTAGGATTCAGTTTCCATCTCTGTATCAGTGTTGTATAGATTGATTGAGATTTGGAGTGGGGGATGTCTGTAAGCCTGCCACCAAGGGCTTGGGAGAGTGAAATATTCTTGTCAAGAATGGGTTCAAGATAGTTTATTATGAGTGTTAGTGGTTTCAACTGAATGGGTTCAAGATAGTTTATTATGAGTGTGAGTGGTTTCAACTGAACAGGTTCAAGATAGTTTATTATGAGTGTGAGTGACAACTAGTAGAGTTCCACCATTTTCTTTTCTGGGTCTGTATTGCAGTAGGTTGTTTCTGGATATTCGTCTTGCCCAGTAAATTTAACCATATTAGATGGGTATTGTAGTCTGAGAAATGCCTTTGGAGATCTATGCGTTTGGAGTCTCTATCTTGTGGGTCTGAACAGATGTGGTTATTCTTAACAGGCTGGCTGTAGATTTTGTGGATGGAAGCTAGAGGCACTCAAGTATGCATATTGGTTGTTGGGTTTTTGATTCAGCATGGTGTTAAAATTATTATGTTGTAGCTTTACAGTGGTCCAGAAAATATACCTATTGTGTAGATTGGTTCAGATTGAGGTTGATGTTAAATGGTAGGTTATTGAAGTCCTGGTGGAATTTCTCCAGGGTTTCTTTTCTATGTGTCTAGTTAACAAAAATGTCATCAATATACCTCACATAATATTCAAGGGTGGAGGAGACAACTCAAAATTCTTCAAACACAAATATAAATATAATATATGAAACAGAAATGTTAGCATCAAGCTTTTGGCCCTGAGACTGCTCTGTTGCAGAAATGCAAGATATATTCCTTTCAGGATGCAGCTTCCCTACAGTGTATTGAGTAATCCAAGTGTATTTTAGTGGAGCCAGTGAAATGGATTTCCCACTTGTTAGTATTTCTGCTGCTACAGAATCTGTTCCAAATACCTACTAGATGATGCCACCAATATCACTGATGAGAAGAAACACAGTTCTTCTATCATACAATGTGAGTACTGATTTAAATATGTGTTTTGTTTTATATCTGTTTAGGTTATAGATCTGGGATTCATCATACATGCAATGAATTTATTGCAGATCTCTGTATTCTATAAAAAATTATATTCAATGGAGCAAAGTAAATCTTTTCTACACACTGAATCTGGATGGAGAGAAATGAATAGATTTTAAATACTAAGAATGTCATCCTTCACCCACAGAAATCAATACAAAAATTACAAATTATTTTAATAGAGGTTTACAAGCTTCACTAAAATTCCAAAATCCATGTTGTGATAATACCTTTATAACATTTGTATATTGTCAGGCTAATTCCAAGTTACCGGTGACTGCCCAAGGCTTCTCTAGATACAGAGCATATGTACATGATTTATTAGAGTTTCCTTCTGATGAAATGCTGGGATCACACAGTATGCCCAAGTACACACACATGGCATGGCATATATGTAACATCATCACCCATGCACATTCTAGGTGATCTTGGCTGGCTCCTCTCCCACAAGGCATGGTATGAATTTAAATGTCTCGCCCCTGCTCTGCAGTCTGGGGCTCCAACTCACAACACGAGCAAATATCTTTACCGGCCAACCATCTAGTTATAAAGCAGGATTAATCTATTTAGGAGTATCAGATTTTCAACTACAATCTCCTGCTGTATTTTATTCAGTTCCTTATGTCTTTTACATAATCTTATTTCCACCGTTCCTGTTCAGCAGCAACAGTTTGACAAGTTCAAGACACTGGATCAGAAGTTCAACCCCCACTCTTCCAAGACTGACAGAATGGGTTGTTTTCACTGTAGCTTACTAAACATCCTCATTGAATTTATGGAGAAGTAATATATAGGGATGTGGTGGCGCTGCGGGCTAAACCGCAGAAGCCTGTGCTGCAGGGTCAGAAGACCAAGCAGTCGTAAGATCGAATCCACGTGACAGAGTGAGCACCCGTCGCTGGTCCCGGCTCCCGCCAACCTAGCGGTTCGAAAGCATGCAAATGCAAGTAGATAAATAGGGACCACCTTGGTGGGAAGGTAACAGCGTTTCGTGTCTAAATCGCACTGGCCATGTGACCACGGAAGATTGTCTTCGGACAAAACGCTGGCTCTATGGCTTGGAAACGGGGATGAGCACCGCCCCCTAGAGTCGAACACGACTGGACAAAAATTGTCAAGGGGAACCTTTACCTTAATATATAGAGTCATATCCCAAACCCTGCAGGGTCAAACCCACCAAGGCAGAGGAAGGTGGGGCTATGATTAAAAATAATAATTTTGATTAAGAGAATAAGTCATATCTTACTTTGCTTCCAGTGCCAGTGCTATAATTCCTGCAGCCATAGGTGCAGATGCTGATGTTCCTGTGTGGCTGTCTGTACAGCGTTGCCTTAGGTCTGTTGTGATCTAGATGGGGGGAAAAGGAAAGTACATAACTGAGAGTATCACTTCAAGAGTCAAAACATGCTTCAGCTGCCTCGCATAACTTGCAGCCACTTGTAATGCGTTTTATTACTGAATAGGCAAAATATTTGTCAAAAAAAAAAAATACTGAAAGCTTGAGAATGTCAAAAAACTATTTGCCTCCAAGGATAGCAATGACATTTCAAGCAACAAGTAAAATCCAAAACGGTTAAATGAGTTTTACCATTGAGCTTAGTCACAATGAATAAAGTTATTTTCAATGGTTTATTGTAGCATGGCATGCAAAATTAAACTCAACCTTAGTACCTTATACAAGAGGTTAACAGCTTCTATTATTTGCATTCAAACAACACTGTGCATTATATTTCAGTTTCACAAAAGATACACAGTGATTAGCAGTGCATATTGTGCACATCTGCTAAGAAGTAAATGTCATTAAATTCTACTCAGAAGTAAATGTTATTAAATTATGCTAAGCTAAATTATTTGACACTGTATGAGAAGCTGGAGCGTCCATATTCCCTGGTCTCATTCAATGGTTTTCCCTGCCAGAAGAATGAGAAGTGTTTTTTTCTTTGATAGATCCCGAGTTTGGCAATGTCTCTAGCAGGGCAACAATGTCCATCTGCAGTCTACTCAGTTCCATGTCAATGACAGCTGTCTTGCACACATCATCTAGTTCCTGCAGGTCGTCAGGAAAGCTGTAGTCGGAAAAGCCAGGGGTCATTGTCCGTACATTCCAGGTGCCCAGCTTTAAGGCAGAAATTTTCTTACGAATGTTGCATGGTGCACTGTTATCGATCTGCTTGTCGGCTTTCACCCTAAACCCACACACCCTGTGAGGTTAACAGACTGTGATGAGGTAGCACCTTACTGGCTGGGGGCTGCCCAGCTTAAGGCGGGTGGTATCTACCTATTGAGGTGCAATGACCTCTCCCACCGTCAGAAGTAGCCCCTGGCGTCATGCTCTACGCCAATCAAGCAAATACTTATAACTGGTAACTGCTACTTCAGCTCCATTCATCACCCGGACTGGTCACCCTCATTAGTGGAGGGGGGTATTCAAAAAAGAAATCTTTCATATTCTACCCCCCACTGTGCTCAATCCCTGGAGCCTCCCCAAGAGTGAAATGAACAGAACAAAACATGGTTGTGTTGGCAGCATAGAATCAATGAGAGAGAGAGAGAGAGAGAGAGAGAGAGAGAGAGACGTTTTGCCAGCCTCTGTGGCCAGGCACTGCACCTCTTCTCAAGACTGAGGCCAGAAACATGCAAAATAGTTTTAGGTAATCAGTTCCAGTAGTTTTACATATCTTTTTGTAAAGGGCAATCTTGTATTTAAATACCAGCTCTGATAAGGATAATGTTGCATCTAGAATAGTGGTCCTCAATAGTTAGCAGCATACAATGTTTTCCATTTTTGAGAAACCATAGTGACTCCACATCTCTTTTTTTTTTTTACTGTAATTCAACTTTCTTTTAACAAACGAATTAACTACAAATTTCAGTTCACAATTTAAAATTAAACAAAAAAGCTTAGTAAAGAAATATTTTAAATTAAAAACACACAATGATTTTGATTGTCCAAAAAAGCGATTTATCTTAAGAAATAGTGGGGACAAATTAAGTATGAGGGATGCCACTGCACTTCAGAGCATCACACTGCTTTTGCCACTTTCAAGGCTTCTTGAAATTGCATTCTAAGAACATTTGGGGGCCCTAGTTTGAGAACCACTGATATACAGTAAGCAGTAACAGAAGTTGTTACTCCCTAATTATTTTAGTATCCCTATGTATTACAGTATCTCCACACACAGCATATCCAAAGCCTTTCACAGGCAACTCCTAAACCCCAAAGACTTAAAATGTTGATTCATTTGCTTTAACAAAAGTCATTAGGATTAGAGGAAGATGCAGATTTGCTTCATACTGACTCAGATCATTGGTCCATCTTGCCTAGTAAAGCAAAGCATGCTGCTTATATACTGCCCCATAGGGCCTCAAGCGCAATTTACTGCCCCATAGGGCCTCTGGGCAATTTACAAGTTAATTATGCAGGCTACACATTGCCCCCCCCCCAGCAAGCTGGGTACTCATTTTACTGACCTCAGAAGGATAGAAGGCTGAGTCAACCTTGAGCCGCTACCTAGGATTGAACCCTAGGTCGTGAGCACAGTTTTGGCTGCAGTACAGCGGTTTAACCACTGTGCCACGAGGCTCTTGTATTAGAAACATTGATGGGCAGTAGCTTGTCAGGATTTCAAGTAGGGCTTTCAGGTTTGCCTCATAATCCTTGTTATTCTCTGGTGGTTTGCCAACCCTGCTTAGCTTCCAAAATCAGAAGAGAATGGTTTGTTCAAAGAGGTGTAATAGTGTTAGAATTGTTTAGAAGTGAAAACATAGACCACAGTTTAATGAAATCAGCTATGTGTTATGTGTTGAAATCAGCTATGCGTTATGTGTTGGAAGGAACTTATTCTAATAGGGCTTTAAAGGCAAGTGATAAATTTAAAATTTAAGGGGTAGTTTTACCAGTCCTACCTGCCCTCAATAATTTTCCATGGAGAGAGGATAAGACATACCTGAGAAAGAGCCAGGGGCCAAGGCTGACTGACTGAGGCAGATGATCAAGGAAGAGAAAGAAGAGGAAGAAGGGTTTGACAGCTCACCAGAAACAAATAAGATGAATGGGGAAGGGAGGACGCAGAGGATGATCTGAACCACACCTTTTGCGCCACCAGAGAGATAGTGTACTGTCTGGAGCCAAATCCCTGGATTGGGATCCTGGTGAAAGTCCCTATGGCTAAGGGAGAGGATGTAGTGCAGCTTCCATCTTTAGTCTGCTCAAGTCACTGCCTCTACCCACAGCTCCATGGAGACCTTAGCATCCATCCTCACCCTACTTAACAAAGGTGCTGGAGATGCAAACACCAAAAGGAGTGCCAACAACCACCCAGTGCTGAGTAGTCACCAATATGCATTCTGGATGAATGGCATGGGGTGGCTTGGGGCTCTACTGAAGACCCAAATGCCACCAACAGACTTGAGCAGCCCAACACAGACTGGTTCTTCTCCTGAGGAGCACAGTAGGGAACTGAGCTTCCAGCCTCTGGCTCCACAACCAGATACTTAAACTACTGAGCTATCCAGCCAGCTTACATCGGAACACCAGTTATCACAATAAAAGCAAGGGCAGAAGATCTATAGATTGAGAGAACTCAAATTTTCCAGCAGAAATTGTGTAACTGGCAGAAGATCTTAAGCTCTGGCTGATCTTCCTGCACGTGGGCACCCCTCCTTGAATGCCTTGACATTGATCACGTGCAGCTCATGCATTGACTGGGCCCAGGAAAGCACAGCTGAGAAAAACACCTGGGGAGGCTGGGGCATGACAATGATGGAGTGGTGGGTGGCTTAGGTAGTGAAGAGGAGGCTTGGTTCAATGTTATGGACTGGGAAGCCTACCAGGCTGAGGAGTTGGTCCCTACGTCCGCCAGAGGAATGATCTATGTGTGTAATTCTGTCATATTAGAACATTACGCAGTAATGCGCATAGGAAATAATATGTGCCTCATTAAATAATATTTTCAAGGAAACAGGAACTGGAGAAAAACAACACTTGCACAAGAAAAGAAGTATATATTTTACTTGAAGAAAAGAACCTATAGTGAAAAATATAGTGAGAAATTTCATCACCCCAAAGTTATTTGCAGAAAAAATTATGATTATGATGATTATGATTATTATTGCTACTACTAGCCAGAGATTAAAACAAGCCAGTTATTTAAAAAAATCTCCACAATAGGGGTAAGTATAGAAATATTACCAATATGAAGAGTTACCTCTGAACTTGTGTTTAAAATTGCTCATATAAAAACAGCAAAGTTTCCAGAAGATATAGCTAATATTCTAGATTAAAAGAAGAAATTATTGATAGTTGGAACTTGGAGGAAAAAAAGTAACTGCTTATTAGCAGCGAGGGACTGAAAAAGAGAAAAAAAATGGAACAAATTTGTATCTCTGATGGAAAAGAGGATCTGAGACAGAACAAAACTATTTCTCCCTTCAATAATTTGCTGATTCTACATGGAGGCCTCCAGCATTGTCTGGTGCAAATAAAATTCATGCTATATGGGCAGTAGTTATCACTCATCATATTATAGCACATGACCACTGTCCATACATTGTGAGTTTAGTTTGCATTGGAAACTAGATGCCTCCATGTGCATTTTGACTTAGTTTTCAATAGTATTCTTAGTATAATTGCATAGTAATAATAATAATCTTTTGATTATGTTATTTATACATAGTCTTATCGGAATGTGTTATAAAAATCAGGTGTCATTCTGATTTATTTACTCTTTGTACAAAGCAACATTTGGACTGGATAAAGTAACAAATATATTTTTGATCACTAAAAAGTATTTCCTGTTATTTATTTTAAAATGTACCTAATAACCTGAGTAAATTTCATTTTCTAGCTCAAAGAACTGTACAAAATGTTCTAGTTGGTATCTTCTCTTTTCTCTCAAGAGGAGATACAAACATGATCTGATCATGTTAAAAGGAACCACATACTATTTTTCTGTCATACGCTTCTCCACTGCTGTAAGTTGTGGCTAGTGTAGATGCACACTCTTCTAGATACCAAGGTTTCCGTCCACTTTCAGCTGTACTGCTGATGGAGATAGTGTAGATGCTGTTGGTGTAGCCATCACAGGAACAATGATCCTTACTTCGTCCACCATTTCCAGATGCCCAAACATAAATAGAACCCAGGTTATTTCGGCCCTATTTGAACAAGGAGAAAAAAATGTAGTTAGTTTAATTTAGCAAGCATATGAGCTTCTCTAGTATCTTTGCCTCAGCTTCTACTGGACAAATCATATGAAAAACAAATTAAGCAAACATAGGTCTTGTTTATTTCTACAGAAATGCTAGAGATGAGCTTAAGTATTATTCTAAAGCATTTAACATTGGATCATGCTTGAGAAATGGTGGAAATAGACTTTTTTTGCTTATATTAACAAAGCTAATGTTTTATTAGAAGTCTGGAATTACCTTCCCAAGGAGGTCAGACTGGCTCCTTTCCTGTTGTCCTTCCACCAACAGGCAAATATATATTTAATTCCAGAAGACTTTTGGCAGTTAACTAAAGAAAAAACTTATAACAGACTTTGGCCATGCTACTTCTTAGAAAACTGGTGTGTTTTACTATTTAAAAAAATTACAAAATCTAAGATACAGTCATTAGAAGAGACTGTAGTATCAGTAGTTTGACATTTTTGCTAATAATACATGGAGACCTCCAGCATTCTCTGGTGCAAACTACATTCATGCTGTATGAACAGTAGTCATCACTCATCATATTGTATCACAGAATTGCCTAAATGCAGCCACTTGACAAATGATGACCACTGCCCATACAGTGTGAGTTTAGTTTGCACTGGAGTGCTGGATGCCTTCCTGTGCAATCAGGCAGGAATGTGTTATAATTTTACTGTAAGCTTCTAAGACCAGTTTTTTGGGGGGAAAGATATAAAGGGTTTTTTGGGGGGGGGAGTTACAGTCGTGCAAAAAAGAAAGTGGCATCTCCACTTTGGCTTAATTTTTTAAAAATAAATAATGACACAGTATAACATGCCATATGTTGTTGTTCATCTGAGGTTGTATGCGTAATTGTCAGACCTGCGAAGGACCAGATGATTTTTATTATGTCCTGATACATAAAATCATAAAATTCAAAGAGGGTGTGTTTTCTTTTTCACATGATTGTATATGAAAATAAAATAAAAAAGAAGAAAACCTTTAAAAGTAAAATAATAAAAATGGATTGTCAGGAGAATTTGTATTTTTATTCTTGTCAAACTGCTTATATCCAATTTAAGATACTGATGTTTGGGGGGTGGGGGGGAAAGAACAAGCTTTCATTTACATCTACCAGCTAATCAATTAGTGAACTCTCCTGCAGAATTGACAGTCTGCACCTGTTATAGAATAACAGGACACCTCAGTTGTTAGACACTTTGATTACTGTATCCGTGAAGGCTTTCACGGCCGGTATCTAATGGTTGTTGTGGGTTTTTTGGGCTCTTTGGCTGTGTTCTGAAGGTTGTTCTTCCGAACTTTCAGAACACAGCCAAAGAGCCAGAAAAACCCACAACAACCACTTTGATTACTGTTTGTAGACTGTAAAAAAGGGGGATTTGACAGCATAAACATTAATAAATCATTATTAATCCTTTTCATTTTTCTCAAAATCAGTGATGTCCTTTTAAGTGATACTTCCTGACTCCTCCTGTCTATAAATTAAAAAAAAATTGAAATCAGCAAATACCTTTTCACATGGCCCACTGAATAAATGTAACACTGCACTAGGAAATCAAATGAATTATTTTTCACTGTTAGTAGTGATTGGCATTGTTGCAGATCTTTATGCCCAACCTGATACTATGTTCTTTCCAATACACCTCCTTTCCTCAGCTATTTCATGCTACAGTCTTCAGGTCAGATGCAACTGTTCTTAGCATTTAAAGCATTAGCATAGCGATTATCTTGGAGTTGGGACAGGTACAGAGAGCTTGTAAAGTACTTCAACTGCCAAATAGCACCCTTCCTTCCCCCTTTCCCTGGAAAAGTTTCTTCCTATCATTTCCCTCAAGAAGAGAGCTAAGGGCATGATGGGAAATACGATCATAGGATAGATGAAGCATGCAGGAAGACAATCTACTCCCAAATTATGGAACTTGCCTAGAAGAAATGGAAAGATTTCTGGTCAGGAAATCATTTGCCTTAATTGCCATCAGTTTTTTTATACTGGACTTTTAGTATGCAAATGCTTTATTTTCTTTGAGAGCAATGCAGAAGTCAAGCACAATTGTACGACCATGACATCTAAGAACAGGAGTTGCCCTCTATTTCTTTTTCCAAGGTGAATTGTATATTTGGGTGGATGGTGTTGAGAAGGTTTAGAAATTCTACCAATTTTTCTTCACCATGGTTCCAGTTTGGTTCCAATTTTTCTTCACCTTCGCAATTTGGAACCACGGTGAAGAAAAATTGGAAGAATTTCTAAACTATCTCAACAGCATCCACCCAAATATACAATTCACCAAGGAAAAAGAAATAGAAGGCCAACTCCCATTCGTAGATGTCATGGTCGTATGCAAAAGTGACCTATTGGTACACAAGGTCTACAGGAAACCGACCCACACAGACTGGTGAGACATAATCAAAACACTGGTAGACTGTCCAAATTGGAACTCTGAAGCTCAATTTCTCAGCACCGAACCCAACTATCTGAATTGGGCCCTACAGGCAAATAGCTATTCCAAGAATGAAATCAAAGGAGCCATCAAACCATTGCCTTCACAATTTGCAGGTTAGAAAAATGAGCAGCTCAGTTCCAAGGACATGGGGTAATAAGAGATGCTTTAGAGAGAGCAGGAGAGACTGAGGTTTGTGAAGTTGGAAGCAGAAGGGTAATGGGAGTAGATTCAAGTAGGGGTAAATCCAAGGCTACTAAGAGCTTTGTAAGTACATACGTAGCAGAGTATATGCTATATGTGAGTGCAAATAAGAAGTTAGGCTAGGAATTTGAAGAGGGAAGAGAGTCAAAAGAAAAGTTAATGATTCTGCTGCATGTAGAAGAAACTAAGTGAAACATATACATGCATGCTAACAAAATGTTTAAAAGCCCTCTCAGAATCTTCTCTGAAAGGCTAAAGCAGAGGTTCTCAACCCCTGGTCCTCAGCCCGGTACCAGTCCGTGGCCTGAGCTGGACCGGGCTGCAAAGACAGACCTCCCGCTCCCCAAGCACGCCCCTCCCCATAGCTGCTTTGCATGTGTTCCAGCACCAGCATGAGTGCACCCCCACCCCTTCACACATGCACCTGAGTGCCCACGCAAAGGGGTGGACGTGTGTGCGTGTGTCCCTGCGCATGTGTGAAGGGGTGGTGGAGTGCTCATGCTGGTGGGCAGGCACTCCCCCACCACTTCACGCATGCACCCAAGAGCGTGTGTGCACCCGCGTGCACCTGCAGGCCCCCCGCCTTCCTTGGAGGCTCAGTTGGCCCGTGGTCCCAAAACAGTTGGGGACCGCTGGGCTGAAACACTAGTGAAACAAGAAAAAATATTTGAAATTGGTGCAGAATTTCAAATAAATTACAGTAATTTATTTGAGAGTGTCTCCTTAGTCATTCTCATGTAATTTATGCCCCGCCACATGTACAAAGGAAGATCTAGCAAATGTCCAAGATAATGCTTGGACATTTGCTTGGACTAAGCCTGCTTCTGATCAAAAATAATCTTAACATTTTAATTTGTTTTTAATTTTACCTATATTTCATATATGTCCATAATTTTAAATTGTGCAATGCTTTGATATGAATGAAGGGAAAAAAAGAATGGAACATATATTTGTGGCTGGAAGAAAACTATGCATTTCTCAAAGATAGTGTTTCTGACGTGCTTATTTTCAGTTGTTCCCCAGTTAACCTCTTTAGGTTATTTTGCAAAATCAAGGCTGCTTTTCACAACACTATTTTTTTAAAGTAACATTCGTTGCAAAATAAATACATGTAGTTTTCACTAAGAAAAATACTGGGAGCAATGAGTAGTTGAAACATACCCTGAAATTTTTAAAGTGAAAATAAAAATCCCAGTTTCCCTAATATATGAAAATATGGTACATTTTACCTACTGAAATATGGTAGCTTTCCAGGATTTAATGGAATATAACGGAATTAAACCTTCAGTGTGGACAGTATACTAAAGTTCATATTTTAGAGGCTTTTGGCAAAACAAAAGGGACGTGGTGGCGCTGTGGGCTAAACCACAGAAGCCTGTGCTGCAGGGTCAGAAGACCAGGCAGTCGTAAGATCGAATCCACGCAACGGAGTGAGCGCCCGTTGCTTGTCCCAGCTCCCGCCCACCTAGCGGTTCGAAAGCTTGCAAATGCAAGTAGATAAATAGGGACCACCTTGGTGGGAAGGTAAACAGCGTTCCGTGTCTAAATCACACTGGCCATGTGACCACAGAAAGATTGTCTTCGGACAAACGCTGGCTCTATGGCTTGAAGAGCGGGATGAGCGCCGCCCCCTAGAGTCGGACACGACTGGACAAAAATTGTCAAGGGGAACCTTTACCTTTACCTTACCTTTGGCAAAACAAATACAGCATTACTCCAAAAAGAACAAGCACAATCATCCTGTATATACTCTTGCTTTTAGAAATGCAGAAGTGAAACAATTATTCATTTTTCATTTTCTGCCTCTTGTTTACCATTATATTCTGTATTTATATCTATCTTGAAACCTAACTTAATTTTGTTCACTGGCTTAAGATCTTTGTCTAGAAAACGTGAACTAAATCCAACTAATATGTCGAAATGGCCAGAATATTAAAGTCCTTTGACGCAGCATTTTTGACCATGCCTCAGAAAATCACATGGGTGTGAATAAGCTGAAACCAAAATCCAGTAAAGACTGAGATAATGATATTTGGCATATGCTGTGTGCTAGATGTATTTGATTTCACTTCACCTTGCTCTTTCCAAAGGATAATAAATATGTACACTTTTTTGTGGTAGTTACATCAGAATACTGTCTGAATCTGTTGATAAAGAATGTGTCTAATGTTCTCCTAGTGCTAAACAAAAAGTAAATTGTTACAACCACACATACAGCAACTAAAGCTAGTTGGTATAAGACTGTGCCTTGATTGATTAGAAATTAAAATAAATAGGAAGTGTGACATGAGGTCAGGAGAAAATAAAATACAAACATACTAA